GCAGCCTGCGGGGAAGGTCCTCAACAGTGATTTACCAATCTGCAAATTCCGCTGTTAGCAAGGGTGCTCATTAATGTGACCAATCAATTTGATCCTGCAGCCTGCGGGGACGGTGCTCAACAGTTATTTACCAATTTGCCAATCCCGCTGGTAGCGGGAGATGCTCATCAGTGCGGCCAAACCAGTTGATCCCGCAGCCTGCGAGGAAGGTCCTCAACAGTGATTTACCAATCTGCAAATTCCGCTGTTAGCGTGGATGCTTATCAATGTGACCAATCAAGTTGATCCCGCAGCCAGCGGGAACGGTGCTCAAGAGTGATTTACCTATCTGCCAACCCCGCTGCTAGCGGAGATGCTCATTATCTACTTCCGCTAATCAGGGAATCGAACATACCTCTGCTGAAGGGACAAGTTACTTTACTCTACCGGGCGCCATCGAGCCTTTCCACTGTCATTTCTACTATTGCGATCTTGATCGGACATAAGAAGAGGTAAGGGGTAAGGACTTGGGGTTAAGCGTGGGTCAGTACTTGCATGACACTCGTTCAGTCAAAGAAAGCGGGCTGGCGCGCTTGAGTGTGCCCTTTTCTCTTTTTTTTTTTTTTTTTTTTTAACTGTTGTAATTTCTATCTCAATTAACTGTCTGTGGAGAATGGCGGGTTGAGCCTGTCCACAGCGGGAGGAAGAAACCGAGCTAGCGAAGGAGGCGAGAGAGAGTACCTAGGGAAACGGAGGGAATGAGTGCAGGCGGTGTATTTCATCAGGGGGGAATAGACCAATAGTGCAGGGAAAGATGAGAGAGAGAGAACTGCGACAGAGAGAGAGAGAGAACAACGAGAGAGAGGGAACAGTGAGAGAGAGAGAAAGAGAACGGGGGGGGCACATCCAAGGTTGACTCCGAAAACTCCCTGCTGCGCCCGTAGCTAATTTGCCAGTTGACTGTTGAAGCTCACTGTTGCGTGAACTCGCTGAACTGTCGATTGGCTGTTGAAACTCACTCTAGCTTGAACTTGCTGAGTTACTAGCCAGCTATTGAAACTCACTGTTGCGTGAACTAACTGAACTGTTGATTAGCTGTTAAACCAGTCGGCTGTTGAAACTTACGGTTGTGTGAACTTGTGGTATTACCAGTTGACCGTCGAAACCCCTTGCTGTGTGAAGTTGCTAAATTACAAAAAGAAAGAAAAAGAAAATTGGAAGCGTGATAGGACGCTGCAAGTTTCGATTCCTGCTGGTCGTCGAGGACCTCGGAAGCGGGCGCGGCGGGTGACAAACGCCGTTGCCCTTGGCTTCGGCGAACGGTAGGCGCCCCTTCCCAGGTTTCCTCACACCGCGCCGCCGCGTGAGGTGCCGGACCGATGCGCGCGACACGTGGCGCCGTTGCCGGGGATGACGGAACCCTACCGTTGTCCCTAGTGGAACGACATCCAGGTATGGGAGTAAGCGAGAAACTAGGCATATGAGTGAATAAGAGAAGGACTATTAGATGTATGTAAGGTGATCTAGGTGACTATGGGTTGGATGATTGATTGATTGGCGGTTTGGTTGACAGCTGGGTGCTGTATGTGGGCGAGGAAGTTCTATGGTAAGGATATGCGTCATCTAGATGGGCCTAAGGGGAATGGGAGAAGGAATGCCTATCAGGTCTAGAGTGTGGGGTGTCTAAGGTGGTCAACTCGATAGGGTCATGAAAGGTTGAGTCGCTAAGTGAGGTCCTCTGTCCCATCGTCTCTTATAACAGGAATATTGAAGTCGAAGGCGGGTGGCCAAAATGCCAGAAGAGATGGCGGACGGTGGGAGGAAGCTTGTGACTCTTGATGGCCTCATCGATGCCCTGGACAAGTGCGAGAGGGCGCCGAGCAACGTCCCAAAGGTCGAGACATTCCACTTCAAAGGGGATCGGGTATCTGATTGGCTGGATCTGACAGAGCAGGCACTAGTGGGGCTATCAGATGAGGTCAAGCTCCAGCGGGTCCTGAGGTATGTCCTGCATAGCCACCATCAGGAAGTGACTAAGGTTGTGGATGCCGACGGTGGCAGTTGGGCAAAGTTTGGGGACCTAATGCGAAGGAAGTACAGGCTGGGGGACGGCCTGTTAACCATGGTCGACTTGGAGGCCATGAATAAGGAAGATTTCTCCACCATTGGGGCGTTTGTGCACGAATTTAAGAAAAAGGCGAGGAAAGTGCACGGGATTTCTGAGGAAGCGCAGTGCGCCACATTTCTGGGACTGCTTACGGGTTCGGAGGCCACATAGCTGACCAAGTATGGGGAAGGGAGCGAGAGGCTCTCCTGGGCAACCATTGACAAGGGAGTGGAAGAAGGGAGTCTGGACCAGGTGGAGCAACACCAAATGAGATTGCAAAGGCGCAAGAGGAAGGAGAGGGATGCTACCGCATCCGGGACCCCAGGGGTGAAGAGAATAGTCATGGACGTGCTGGCGGCACTGGGCTATGATAATGAAGCAGAGATACAGAAGAGAGGGGTGCTAGTGGCCCAAGGCCGGGCGTCAGGGGCAGTAGATGAGAAGGCTGGGCAAGAAGACTATGGCGGAGGGGAGACAGGCTCCCATGTCCTGACTAAGGCCCAGAGAAAGCAGCGCAACTTGCTGCAGGGAGGGCAGGGGTTAGGGAAGGGACAGGCTCCCCAAGCCATTGCCGCACCACCGCCTGTCGCCGCGGCCGCGCCGGAGCCAGCAGGGCCATCGCACATGGGGCCTCCACCAACTTGCGGGCACTGGGTGCCGCACTGTCAGTCCGCACCCTGGCTCAGTTGCAACCACTGTGTCTCGTGTGGAGGGAGTCAGGCCCACGCGGGACACATGGTCCCCTGCTCAGGCCCATCAGCAAGTATGGGCCCCCCGAGCTACCCGGCGACCCAAAGCCAGCCCGTGGCCCAACCGTCGCCCTCCCAGCAGGCCTCGCAAGCTAGTGTGGTCGGGGGAGGGGGCCAAGGACAAGGCAGGCAGGGCAATGGGGGCCGGGGTCAAGGGGGTAGAGGAGGGGGCGGCGGGGGCGAGGAGGAAATGGTGGAGGCCATGGAGGAGGCTGGAATGGTCAAGGGGGTCAGAACCAAGGTGGCCAAGGCAGCCAGGGAGGAGGCCAGGGGTATGGGAGGCCCCGCTTTGACTTGCGGAACGCGACTTGTTGGCATTGCGGCGAGGTGGGCCACACCGTGCGATTTTGCCAACAGCGGCAGGACGATGAGCTGGCAGGATTAATCTCCACCTGTATGGATGGGGACATATATGACCGGTGGGGAAAGCACATTGATCCTAAGACCCCGGGAGGAATTAGGCAAGAAGCCCTCAGGCGGGCAGCGGCAGGGCCTCCAGCAGCCCCGGCAATGTTCAGGATATGGCAGGATAGGCAAGACCCCGGCGTAAGAGTCGAGGAGATTGTGGGTGAGAGCGAGGAAGTGACTCAGCAGCTGAAGGCGGGGACTATAAAGGAGGAACCCATAGTTGTTGAGTCCAACGAAGAGGCGCAGGAGGCGGCGAGAGAGTCGGCCTCGACCATCCTGGAGAGGATGGAGGATCTGCTTGCAAAGGTGGGAAGATACCAAGAACGATTAAGGGTGATGTGCGGGGAGGCCCGGAAGTGGGAAATGAACCTTCCTGAGGTGATGCTCTATGGATCCGGTCCGGAATCGCCATCAGAGCCGCAAGGGTGTCCAAGTGTGGCAACGGTCGGGGCAGGTCCTACAGCGGGGATGACTTTCAGACCCCCTACGTCGCATGGAAGGGTACCACAGGCCGTGCAGACTAGAGGCCAAAGTAAGGCTACCACCAGTCAAGGGCCTAGCCAGGCAGCCAGTCGGGCGCCCACTCGAAAGGACCCTGAGCCCGAACAAAGAAAGGAAGTGGTAGAGGTTCGAGAAGAGGAAGATGTGGATGATGGCGAAGAGGACGAGAGGTTCCGGCAGGAGGAGGACCGGAGGGCGGAACAGAGGGCCAAGAAGAGAGGGGCTCAGGGAGGGGTGGAGTCGAGTCTGCATGACGGCGTGCCAAAAAGGAAGAAGTATGCAGTTCGGCTGGAGGAAGGCTTTGACGTGGAGCGAATGGTGGATAAGCTCCTGGAGGGTCATAACGATCTGATGAACTTAAAGGACATTCTAGCGTCAGCACCGAGGCTCCGGGGCGAGCTGAAAGGGCGGCTCTCACGGAGGTTAGTGCCCAATGTCCACCTGAGCTCAATCTTGCCCAGGGAGATAGAGTGGACGGAGGCGGGCACCATGATGGATTGGAAATGTGTGGCGTGTGGGTTGGTGGACCTGAAGGTGAGGGACCAGCCGAGCATTGCAATGGTGTACACGGGCGCGGAAATGGATTGGTCAACCATTCGGACCATGGCGTGTTGCATGGCGCCAACTGCAAGGCCATCTTTTGCGGCACCGCATCTAATGTAATGGTAGAGATTGGGAGAGTAAGGGCGCGAACGTGCTTCTTCGTCATGCCCGACGTCGACCACCCTATTCTCCTGGGGAGGTCGTTCCTCTGCCGAACGGAGACCTTGGTCTTGAACAGGCATGAAGGGACGATGATTCAGGCTTTGTCCGATCCGGCCTGTGGAAACTATGAAATCATTAAGTGTTAGAACACAGGACCCGGAAGCGGGAGGAACATGCTCAACCTCGGCTCCTTTACCTTCGAGGAGTCCGAAGAAGCGCGACGGAGACTCCGGGAGGAGCAGGAGGAGGAAGGAGTAGGCGAGGTATTATCCCTGAGCCTTAACGATGTGAATAAGGCAATGGAGGTGGTGGCCGCGCATGATATGGCGGACCCTGAGGCTATCAAGGCGTTGAGGGAGCAGGTCCTGGAAAGCCCTCAGGTGGGAGAAGTAGAACTGATCTATCGGCTTCGCGGGAGGAAAGGAGACCCTGAGATGGCCCTGGCCCGAACGACAAGTCGGCCTTTTTTAGGGGAGGGCTTAAGCAGGGTTCCCAAAGGCGGTACAAGACCATAGACAAGAAGTGTCGCCCGGTCCCCGTGCTTGTCACAGAGGACGAGGAAGCCTATTATGAGCAGGAGCGAGGGCTGATAAGGTGTATGCGGGAGTGCGCACAGGCAGGACCGTGCCGCATCAATAACGAGAACGAGGAGGGGCTGATAATCGGCGAGTCTGGCTTCCTTTCACCTCAGGAAAGGACCTTGATGGTGGAAACAATGAAGAGGAGGCATTGTGCATATGTGTTTAACGATGACGAGCGTGGGAGGTTGGACGTGGATAAAATCCCAATGATACAAATCCATACCGTCCCACATGAGCCGTGGAACTTGAGGGGCGCGCGATACCCGAATCCGGATGAGGAGAAGAAGGTGGTGGATTACTTGGATGGGAAGATAAGGACGTATGTGGCAGATTATTCTTGCGGACCGTATGTTTCCCCTTGGTTTTGTTTTATCAAGTCAAACGGAATGCTACGATGGGTGCAGGATTTGCAACGATTGAATGCAGTAATGGTGCGGGACGCGGGAGGATTGCCGAACGCGGACGCCCTGTCAGAGTCATGTGCAGGAAGGACTATAATCTCACTTATAGACCTTTACTCTGGGTATGACCAGTTTCCCGTGTACCCACCGGATAGGCCGGTGACGGCGATGCATACGCCAAGGGGGTTGATCCACATGAACGTGGCACCTCAGGGGTGGACTAATGCGGAGCCGATGGTGCAAAGGCACATGATTAGGGTCATGCAGACGGTTAGTCCGCATATTACTCAGCCCTACATTGACGATTTGGCGGTCAAGGTCCCAAAAGAGAAGGAGGAAGATGAAGTGATGCCAGGGGTGAGGCGGTTCGTCTGGAAGCACGTCCAAGATATCGATCAAGTTCTGGATCCGCTGGAAGAGCACAACCTGACGGCGAGCGGCCCCAAGTCGAAGCATTGCATGAGGGAGGCCACGATTCTGGGCTTTGTTTGCAACGAGGAGGGGCGGAGGCCAGATGTGAAGAAGACAGACAAGATCCCAGAGTGGCCAGTCCCCTTCCAATCGATAACGGGCGTGAGGAGCTTCCTTGGGACCTGCGGGTTTTTGAGGAGTTTTGTGAAGGACTTCGCCACCAAGACAGAGCATTTGAGGAAGTTGGTACTTTAGGACCAGGAGTGGGTCTGGGGCGAAGACCAGGAAAAGGTTGTGGAAAGGATGAAGAGAGAATTCAAGGAAGGAGGCTTGGTGCTGGGAGCGCCGAACTACGAGGTCACGGAGGAGAAGCCATTCGTTGTTGAGACGGACGCCGGGCCAACTGCCTTAGGAGGGGTCCTGATTCAGGCAGATGCGGATGGGAAGGAGAGGCCGCTGAGATTTGAAAGCCGCACCCTCAATACGACTGAAAGAGACTACTCGCAGTTAAAGAAAGAAACGTTGGCGGTGCTCCATTGCCTAAGGACCTTTCGTAACTACATCTTTGGCAGGAGACTCATTTTGAGGGTGGACCCTACTGCGCTTGCGTGTTCCCTGAAAATTTATACTCTATCTGACCCAACCATCACGAGGTGGTTGACCTACATTTGGATGTTGAACTTTGAGTTGGAGAGGATTCCCGGGGACATGAACAGGGCAGATGGACTGAGCCGTATCAACTGGGATGGGGCGGGTCAAGAGTCAATTGAGGACACCCCACCAGTTGACGGGTTCTTGGATCAGGAGGAGCACGTCCGCCTCCACATAAATGAGTGGTCGTTGAGGGTGCCTAGCTGTGTCACGCATCCTATATGGCTAGCACCAAGGGGGTACGAGCAGAAGGAGGAGTTGGTCCTCAAGCCCTTCCAGGAAGAAGATCCGTGGGGGAGTAGAGATGTTGGCTGGATGATGAGGTTGGCATTGGCAAGGACGCATAGTCTAGCGGAGGAGGTAAGGACGATAGAGGAAGGCCCGACCCAGGTAGAGGAGCATGAGCAACTAATGGGAGGGATGTACTTGCTCACCAACACGCTCCTGCAAGGGAACTTTGACTAGAGGAGCGCAGTCAGCTCCGAAGAGGGTGAACTTCTCATTCCTGAAAGTCAGGACGACGAGTTCGAAGAGGGAGAGATTAGGGAGGTCTTCCGTGCTCAGGAGTATGACGAAATTTATCGAGAATTGGGGTTACTCCTGTCATGCGAAATGAGGGATAGGGACGCCAGTGCTAAGGCCCAGAAGATGAGGCATCTCTACGTGGTGAGAGATGGTCATTTGCTTATAAAGCGACAGGTTGGGAACCCCAAGATGATCGTATGTGGGAGGAACCGGCAGATCGATGTCATAGCAGCCCTACACGATGGTATAGCAGGGGGGCACAGAGGGGTTAGTGCCACGTGTGCGAAGATAAGCGAGTTATACCATTGGGATGGAATGCTGACTATGGTCATCAAGTACTGCCAGTCCTGTCTGCCTTGTCAGCGGAGGTCAGTGCAAAGGCCTGGGGAGCTTTTACACCCCAGGCCAGAAAGGGAAGTGGGTGTCGTCGTACACCTGGACCTCTTGTTCATGCCACTCGGAAAGGATGGAAGTAATTATATCTTCGATGCACGGGACAACCTTACTGGGTTTGTGGACGGCCGGGCTATTCGCACAAAGACTGGCCAGTTTTAGCAAGGTCCATCGAAGAGTACTACCTGCGCTATCCGTTCGTCAGAGAATTTGTGATGGACCGGGGGTCGGAGTTCACTTGTAACGAGGTGCGGACCTTGCTCGGGGGGTACGGCGTGGTAGCAAACTATACTACTGCCGCGCACCCCCAGGCGAACGCACCTGTGGAGAGGAGGCACAACACCATCATGAATCTCCTGGCTAAATGGACGGAGGGGAAGCCTAACCAATGGCCGAAGTTCCTGAAAGCAACTTTCTTCGTGGAAAATGTTACAGTGAAAAGGACTACCAAGTATGCGCCATCCACTCTATGGTATGGAAGGCATGCCACCTTCCCCATAGAAAGTTTTATGAAGATGTGGAGGCGTCAGGACCTGGAAGTGAACCTATCCTTTGAAGAACTGCTCGACATACGGGCACGACAAGTGGGGGCCGCTGAAGAAAGGCTACGGGAGGCCGCTGGTCAGGTGAAGAGAAGTCGCATGGAAGATAAGATGAGGTGAGACCAGATAACCCGAATAAGGAAGAAGCCGCTGAAGGTTGGAGACGTGGTGCTGCTGTACGATTCCTCGCTGGAGAAGCAGTGGTCTAAGAAACTTGACAAGCGGTGGCTGGGACCCTATAGGATCGTGCGGTGTGGCGAGTTTGCGGCCTACCAAATTGAGGAGCTGGACGGGGCAGGATGGCAGGACTGGGTATCAGGGATAAGGCTGAAGAAGTTTGTGGCCAGGGAATAGGTAAGGGGCCATGAGACCTCGTTAGGGATAGAGTCTTGCCTAGGTATTACCCAGGTCGGACGGCTAGATAGGTGGGTGATTAGGATGAATGGGTGTGGAGTGTATGTGGGATTTCCCTAGGCCGATGGCTCGGTTGCTAACCTTGCTGTGTGCATGCTTGTTGTCTCTCGCCTGTGGTGCATGTCTGACTTTTCGAAGGCAGTAATGCAGAGGGGCGGGAAGGACACACGGCCACGCCAGGGGCCCCAGAGGATGGAGGGAAGGGGCGAGCGGCACGAGCCGCATAGGAGGGAGCCTACGCCTGAGTTTGATGACGACAACATTGAGCTCTTCTTGGACGTATATCGGGACCATGCGGCACAGAGAGGGTGGTCAGTGGCGGAGAGGATTCACCACTTGAGGGGCATAGGGCGGTTCGAGGAGCCCATCGCTCAGATATGTGAGGAGGCCCTGACTTGGCCGGACGTGGAAGCCGGGATGCAGAGGTTGAGAGCTTCCCCTAGGGGGTGTGATGGCATGCCCATTCGATTGGAGGAGGGGAACGCAGATGAGTTCATCCCCGCATATGAGCACTACATGTTGAGTCTGGGGGTTGCGCAGGGGGAATGGGTGCAGGCCCTACTTATCTGGACGAGGCGGGCAGAGAAGCAGGCGATCAAGCAGATTCAGGAGAGGGCTCGAGATTGGGAGGACTGTCAGGCCCAACTTAGGAGGGCGTTCGGATGGCCGCAGCACGAGAGGCACGAGCCCTGAGTTGAGAGGCGGCGGCGAAGCAAGAGGCCAAGGGAACTGGCACCGAGAGAGGCGGGGCTGGCCAGAGAGGGGAGGGGAACCCCGGCCCAGCGGGAGGATGAGCCCGTAGAGCCCGCATTGGCAAGGGAGTCGTTCCCTGCTTGTGGCCTCTGGGCGGTTGAGTTTCGGCGGATTACGAGCGAGGAGTTGAGGCCGCCCTCGCCATTGCCATCAACGCAGGAGCTGGACATACCAAGAGAGACGCCATTCCGAAGCTTGGCGACGCATCTCGATGTATCCCAATGGGAGGCCTCACGGCTGGGAGAGGGCTCAGTTGAGCCGGCGTGATACGTGCCATTGGAGGAGCCCCTCGACCCTGAGATGGATACAAACATGCGAGACCGAGAGAAGCCGCAAGACCCTGAGATGGAAGCCGAGCGGCCGGATCCGGTACGATCTCAGGAGAGAGAGGTGATCACGGTTGGGGACAATACCCGTTCATGCTCCCCAGCTCCAGAGCCAGCACAGGGTTCATGGCCAGAGGGGATTCCTGAGCCAGGTATCGAGGAGATCCCGGAGTTTCCCCCTGAGGCCACCACTATACCTGAGCAAGAGGTAGAGGCGGAGAACCGGGGAGTGTGTGAGAGAGCGAGGATGGAGGTGCCCCTTGACTTGCCCTTGGCCACACAGGTGACCAAGAGCCCGGTTATCGAGGAGCCCATGTCAGCAGAGTTACCGATAGTAATGCCGTGCGCGAGCAAAAGGATGGAGGCGGAGGCGTCGACTCCAGGAGGCCAGGGGCCGCGAGTGGAAGGAACTCCAAGAGAGACCCGCGAAGAGAAGTCCGCCCGAGTGCAGGTCCGTCTGGACGATATATACGCAAGACAGGCTGAGATGGAGGCGGCGGGGATAGAGCCGACACCGCCGGTCGATCCCAAGACGAGTGAGCAGAGGATCGACGAGTTGTGGGCTAGGTATGAGAGCCAGAGGGATGCAGCCCGCCAGAGGTCACGAGAGGCGGGACAGGCGGACGAGGAGATGAGTGAGTTGAGAGAGATGCGGGACTTGGGGTTCTCCGCGACCAGGCAGGCAATTGAGCGCATGGATCGGAGGGTATGCGAGACGGCAGTCATATCCTTCCAGTGGTATAATCTACTCAGCATTGAGCTCAGAGTTAAGGAGTTGGAGGTTGAGCACCTGACTACTCAGCTTGTCGAGGAAAGGGCGAGGAGCAGGGCTAGAGAGGTTGAGTGGGAGAGGAGACTTGGGGAGATGGCGGCCGCTGTAGGTAGGCTCCCGGCGGCCTGGGAGGCTAGCCAGATGGGGCGAGCCGGAGCCAATAGCCAGGGCCGAGGGGTGCAGGCTTCGTCGGGTCAGGGAGCAGCGGTGGAGGTCCCTCGACAAGCCGAGCCAATGGAGGAGGCGCCCTTGAACGCAGTCGAGGAGGAGAGTGGCGCGCAGGAGTCGCTTATGGCTATGTCCACGGAGAGGAGAGGTTCGCGCTTGCATGAGCTGACAGCAGCCATGGGGATAGGCAGTCCACAGGAGGGGCCTCAGGGACTCGACGCTCCAGAGCATGCCCCGAGGTTGGGGGAGTTGAGGGCGGAGCTGGGCTCCTGGGCCACGGGGACCGACTTAGGAGGGCTTGACTCGCGACGGCAATTGCAGCAAGAGGTCATGAGTGAGCCCGCCGCTATGGGGGGCTCTCAGCCGTCAGGAGTATGTAAGGATGAGGCGATGATGACAGAGAGGGTGCATGAAGAGGGACCCCGAGAGCTGGATACGCCAGAGCGCGGGCCAGGGACTGCGGTTGCACGAAGGGGTGGAGGTGCTGAGGCTATGGAGCCCGGACCTTAGGGCCATGTGGGGTTGCCCTCGTGTCACGAGGTGACTACTGGGACCATAGGAGCGCCTTCGGCATCCAGTTCGCAAGGGAAGAAGAAGAAGGCTGCTAGGTGGCATGATACCTCCTGTTTTTGGTGCAAGGAGGGAGGACATAGAGTCGTGGACTGTCCAGAGCTCCTTGAGGATAAGGCCGAGGGGCGAGTTGCGGAGGTCGAGGGCAAATTCTATGACAGACAGGGTAGGATAGTGGAGCGAGCTCCAAATGGGGGCACGGCTCAGTTGTATAGGCAGAACCAAGAGGAATTGTGTAAGTAGGGATCGATCTGTCTATATATTGATAGGACTAGAGATCCTTGACACACCCAGGGCAGGGTTAGGTGTGTACATACCTTGAGTCAGTTGAGCGGGCCCTAGATGTGTGTGTGCGTAGGAGTGGTGGGATGAGTTTCTATCCGATTGTACATATGTGTGTGACTTTTGTTCGCCTGTTTCCTCTTGAGTTTCTTCGTGGGCTACGACCCAGGGGTAGGACTCAACTATGTGATATATGAGACCATTTGGTTACATTTGGTTTTGTGATTCAGAAACTATTGCTGCTCAGAATGGGATTTGGGAGTTTCTAGCACTCGGGATGTGAGTTTTCCCAGCGGGGGAGTACAGGGGCTGGCCATTCTGTGGATGTTAGGTGAATGCTATGTTCCCGAGCATATTTGGTGAGTGTACAGTGGGGTTATGAATCCTACTCAGACAGGCGGGGCATTGAGTTGAGTGCTTGTATTCGACTGATTGAGGGAGGCATTCTACTCCCTGAGTGTATTATGAGTTGAGATCCTATGGGACTTGTCTTGTGATGACCAATATCACTCTCACATGTGTGGATTTATCCTGATGTATGATTGGCTTTGTGTGAGAGGAATACACGATACATCTCATGGGCATGATTGTGTAAATGGTAAAGTTGTTTACCCTCCGGTATACTCGTACGGTCTGTTGCAAGCGGACGAGAGGGCAGAGTATAAGGAGGGGAAGTGCAGTCTGATTGTGAAAAATTGTGAGAACCCCACGGGATTGGTGAATTTAGGAATTTGCATGTTTGGTCGTACTAAACATCGTGCCTAAGTTGTATAGGGACCTAGAAGGTGGTCCCTCAGTTTGAGTTATTTGGTGATTAAGACCCCCTTCATGGTCCTGGAAGGTAGGAATTGCATTGCATGGAGGCCCCTTCATGGTTTTGGAAGAGGTCGTGTGAGGAGTCATCCCATACAAAAAAAGGATGACCGTAAATTTTTTTTTTTTTTTTTTTTTTTTTTTTTTTTTTGAGAGAGAGACATCCCTTACCAAGTAAGGGTGGGTAAAATTGAGTGGTATGGGAAGCATTGTTTGTGTTGATAAAGTCTGACGAAAGGAGACCATGTGTGGCTGAGATGTTTGAGAAGGGCGAGAGATGTCTCAGGGTGGGCTACTGCTGACCCTGATCAGGTCAGGAGCCGTGGCCTTGTGAATCCGACAGGGAGACTGTTTGTGATTGAGCGAAGGATGCCGTGCCTATGATGGAAGGGCTGGTAAATGCCTTCGGACCCCCGCGTTGTCCCGCAGCGGCCTGTGAATTGTTTGTGAAGCCCCGCCCAACCACCTGTGCTAATTCTGAGACATACTTAAAGGAATACCAAGCTAACAGTAAAGTTTAGTGCCACTCGGGCGCAACCCCTAGTGGATGGCTGTTGGCCGGCACAACCTGGCTGCGGGCTCGCGAGGTAAGAGTTTAAGGGGAGTTGCCCGCCCCGGAGAAATTACCTCGCGGGATAAGAGTCGAGTCTTTTGGAAAATCCTGACTGACTGATTGTCGGGAAAGGCGCCTATCGTTGTGTAACCAACGGGAGGATAACGCCGCTAAGGTAACAATGCGGTGAGCCGTAGACCTGACCCGATCAATCAGGCTATGGTGGGCTCAGATGGAGACCTGGCGTTTCTGTACTAGACTGCAGAAAGGGCCGAGAGAGGCTATAAGTTATACATATGCATTTTGTTTGATGGTGAGAAAATTGCTGAAAGAAGGCAAGAATGCCTTCACAGGTCCCATTCAAAGCCCGCGTCCCTAGTTATGGCTCTGTCTACGAGAAAGAGGCTAACTGGGACACCTAACGAGAGGCCGGCGATTGTCTAGGACAAAGGGGAAGAGGGGGGTTTGAGGGCCTTTGAAACTTATACTGTAGTATACACGCGTAATACACCGGCGTCCTGGTGTCAGGACAATGGAGACCCAGGTTGAAACCCTGGCAGCATATAGTTGTGTTGGCACGGTTTGATGGAGGTCTCGACCCTGAGTCTGTCGACTAATCGGATTGGTTCTCATCTCGTCAGCATTTGGAGTGTGAGGGAGTCTATGGCTCTTTGATCTGGCGACGCGACAGGGACGTCACTTAATATGGTCCGGTAAGTTGTCGGCGCGAATACCCTTACAAGGGTATCCGCCCTAGTTTTTGCAAGTGACAGAAAGGCTCGGTTAGCCTGGCTTTTGGATGCCCGTACGAGAAAAATGTGAGGGTCGTCCGCGCGCGGGCCAAGGTCTGCCTTGTCCCGGTATGGAGTATGTGGGCGCGCAAGTTTTGAGGCGCGCGTGTGATTTTTTCTGGTTGAGATAGGCAGCCGGTCTAGCCGACTAGCCCGGACCATGTTGCGAGTTTGGATTGGGGGTAAAAGTTTGTTTTTGATCGGAGCGCGCGGTCCAGCGGTAGGGTTGACACGCCAGTAGGCGCATGGGATGGCCCGGAACCAGGCTGGCAGGGTGGCGTAGACGCCAAAGGGCCGCGAATGTAGGTGGGGGCCGAAGGAGTGGCCAAGGCGGTAACCTGGCCCAGAGGCGCCGCGTGAGACCGCCTTATGTGGGAAGCCGCGCCTTCTGATCACAGGCTTGGGCTTAGCCTTATCGGTCACGACACTGGATTGTTTCGGCAAAGGTACGAGGTTCGAGACCAGTGGACGGAGGCACGGGAGCAATGGAGCGGAGGAGCCGAGAGGTCGAGGGTCCCGTAGGACTATCCCCCTTTTGTTTTGCTGAGGCAGTTCGGTCGCGGGCCCGGCCGCGGGGCAAGGGGGGGCTTGGGGATGCCCGCGGCCTTTAGCCATTTGGCGACCCCCTTCGCTAAGCAGCCCCGGGGGCTAATGTCTAAGTCCGCCTTTGAAAGAGTCCACGGGAGATCTTTGTTCTTAGATTTTTTTTTTCTTGGCTGGTCAGACTTGCTGACGTAGCAACCGCAAAGGGGGGCCCGGGAACGAACCCGGACGAGAAAACGGACTAAGGACAGGGGGCCATGAGACTGCTAGCCGCGCCGACAGGCGCCGCGCAGCGCGAGTCCTACGGGATACTCGCTAGATTCAAAACGATATGGGGAAGAGTAGCATGGCCCCTGCGTAAGGCCGATACGTATAGATCCTTAAAAGGGTCCGGGTTCGCATGCCAAAGCAGGGCGAGGCTGCAGCCGTGCGAGTCCTTCGGGAAATCTGTTAAAAATTGGAACGGTGCACAGGAGGTTCGCTTGGCCCCGGCGCGAGTTTGACGCGTATGGACCCCGACGGAGGGGCCAGGTGCGTGCGTCGGGGTAGAATGGGGTTGTGGCCGCGCGGAAATCCGAAAGGCATCCGTGGAAATTGAAGTGATATCGGGAAGAACCGCCTGGCTGCTATGAAGGGTAACGGGGGAAAGTCCGGGAATGAACCCGGACGGAAAACAGGTTAAGGGAAAGGGGCGTGGAGGGCCGTTGTAAGTGGGGTCCTTCGGAATATCTGTTGAAATCGGTACGATACAGGGAGGATCCGCTTGGCCAGCCGTGCAAAGGGAGTGCTTGCGAAGCCCGGGGATGAACACGAGCGCGAGACGTGGCCAGGGGGGCCCGCAAAGAGGAGACAGGGAAGACTTGCACGGCCCTGTGCAAGGTTCGCATGCATGAAGCCCGAAGGAAGGGCCAGGTCCGTGCAAGAATAGCGAAGTGGGTGGGGGTACGGCCACGAAGGATCGTATTGGGGCACCCGTGGGAAATTCGGGCCGATACGGAGAAGGTCAGCTTGGCCCAGGATAAAGTCGAAGTGCACGATCCCCAAGAAGGAGGGTGGGTTCCTGCGTTAAAAAGGGGCGAGGTCTTGGCCGCGTAGGGTTTGGAGTGCTGAGGAAGGTGCTGCCCCGGCCCGTATTCTTTGGGACATCTGTCGAAATTGGAATGATACAGAGAAGTTCAGCGTGGCCCCGGCGCGAAGCTGACACGCATAAGTCAAGCGGAGACCCAAGTGCTCAGGATTTTTTGCTCGCTCACCTCTTGTTGCGTGCTTCCGGACGGACCGACGGGCAGTGGGGCCGGTTGAAAAACGAAGTACGGAGTGGCGGGCACCATTGTGAAGGAGGTGAACCGGGATGCGATCTGGCGTGGGGTGCGTGCGAGATAGGAAGGGGCACAGCGAAGAAGGAGCGGCGAGCTATGGCCGGAGGGAAGACGGTTTTATGCCCGTTCCTCAACAGAAATGGGCGAATAAGGGCTCGTTCCTAGCATTTTCGGCCATGGCGAGTTTATTAGAGAGGGCAGTAGGTTAGCGGATATGGAGTCAGTAGAGAAAGATGATGCGCCAAGCTATGGTGGGAGCTAAGAAAGAAGGGAGGAGAAATTGAGATTACTACTCGATTCTCTGTGAACTCGGGCGGAGGGGAAGAAGCTAATCTGATGTTTGGGTCGGGGCAAATCCATTGGGGTGGACCGAATTAGCAGCAGAGTAGTAGTTTTTGCGCAGTGTGACTTATAGGCTGCGTGGAGATGTTGAGAAACGGGGATGGGGGGGGAGCATGCAACACGATACTCACCCGATCTTTGATGAAATCGGAAAAGGGGAAGGGCATTCTAAAGGCTTTGAGGGCGAGGGAGACTAATGAGGGAATAGGACTCCTGGGTTGGGGCTTAGATCAGGCAGTATGGGCGTTAAGAGTTGCGTCTGAAGGAAGGAAATCGTCGAATCTGTATCTCTCTGTGTTCTAGCGAAAGATTCACGTAATTTTCTCCATTCTGTTGAGCAAGTAACCAGGAGCGAACTGAGGG